ATGATCGTATTTGGGAGCTATTGACACGAAAAATTGCTATGGCGGCTTCAACCAGCAAATAAGCTTTGGAAAAACATCTGAAAAGGGCATAGTCTGAAATAGCGCCATCGGAAATAGAAAATTTGGTTATATCTACCCCACGTCATTTAAAACAGTTACAGAAGCATTTGGTTGGCCAACAAAATATTAAAATTATTTTAAGCCTCTTTATTTTTTAGTTTAATTTAGTCAAAATATGAAAGAATATGTATTGTATTTAAACGTTTGTCCCGCATGATTTCATGTTTTTAATGAATTTACCGTTATTTACGCGATTTTTTATTTTTTTTGGATTGCATTGTTGATTAATTATTTACTTTAAATAAACTGCATTCTTACATTTACTCTAAAATGCTTAATTTTATTAAAAAGTGGAATTTTATAGGTGTATTTAAACTTTTGCCTTTGACTGTAGGCTTTTTGTTTTTGTATTCATGCTACTTCCGTGTGTAAAATTGCCTTGCCCTTGCACATTGTGCCAATTGCGTTTTAATAAAATTAAATTAATTTATTAAATTTGTGTACCTACGAAAATAGAACACGTTTCCTATAACTCGGAACCTTATACAAATGGGTTTAAATAAAACATTGGTAAGAAAACATAAACAAACTCCATTTACTAATACATATTAAAAGCAACGTCAAAAAAGGAAAATCTACAAATATTTATTGAAAATAACTGTTATGATGAAACGTAAAAAATATAAATTGAAAATAAACGTTTTGAGCAATAGAAAAAATATTTATTAAAAATAACTCCTAGGAGGATACGTAAAAATTATTCCTTAAACTAAGGGCAACGTTTTTGATCACAAAATAAGAATAACAGTTATTTTTGGTTCTGCTATATACGCTTGAAAATTCAAACTTGAAGTATGTCAACAAGGCATTCCATCACAGAATTAATTTCCTCATTGCACAACACATGAAATGGACCGTAAGTTTTCACTTGCACAAGGTTCCAGAGTAGCAAGTGTTTAGGCCAAGGACCTCAATTTATTCAAACGTTGTCGACCCGCCCTAGTAGTGCGAATGTTTCCGCAAGATTTGACTTTTTGTATTCCTGCATATATGTGGCTGCAAGAATGCTTCCGATCATTTGAGCGAACATGTGTCAGGAATGTATGATGTCATATCCCGTCAGCTCGTAAAAAGATTTTCTCATCACTTTCTTAAGGCCGAAATGGCAAATGTGATGTTTACATTGATATACTTTTACGTCATTCTCTCTTCGTTTCCTTGTGCATTTTCGGCATTCTTGTCGGACAAACCGAAAACGGTTGAGCTACAGCATTGATACCAAAAGAAGACAATATTGACGTAAAGAAACGCAGCAGTGCCATACAAGCCGAACACAGATGAGTAACAGCATTGATATCGAAGGAAATCATATTTGCCAACAATTTTCCCTGCATATACATGTACATACATACAAGCTTAATTAAGATTCAGTTTTTATTTCAATATTTTACATAAATCATCATTGAAAACGAGTTTCAAAAATGAAATGAAAATGAATCGACCCACTGAGGTTGAGAAGACAATTTTTCTCCTTGTAATAATGTCATGCGTTGGTGACGCAGTCCCTCAGCAAATCGAACAACTTTGTCATTTTGGCGGTTCCTTTAAAGTATAAAGGCGTCTATGTAAAATAAAAAAATAATGTTCGAATCATAATGTTATTAATGTGTAAATGCAGTTGTACCTTGCAAAGTTTTGTCGAATACTTGTAAATCTGCTAATGCTGCAAGATGAGAAGTGTACATTCCAGTCAACCTGCCCCATTAACAGGATTTTCCGTACTATATGTCCTTAAATAAAAACAATCTAAAGAGTAATGAAAAATGAAGTAGTTGTTTAATCGACAATTATTATTATGTTTTTACCACAGCATGTATAGGATCCTTATCAATATTTTTCACTTTTTTAAGTTCTCTAGCGTTCTACTCAAAAATAAGATTTTAAATAAGCATTCTCCTTCAATTTGTATGTACTCAAAAGAGAAAGATAAACAAAAAATTTGCTTATGTGTTACTGCTGTCCGAAATCGCGTGAGTGTATTAGTGAACCCATCAACCCGTTCTTGCAGGGATATGAATATTTTTGCATTCATGCATTTATGCAAGAATGAAATTCTCAAATGATCAGCGAAGTGACACAGATAAAATGCTCATTGTTTGTAATGGAATTTACCTTCTTATGGTCCAGATCACATATCTGACTACCTGATCTGTTTTACGTTTTTCTATCCCTGCTCAATTGAGCGGTATGCGATTGGCATCAGAATCCGAATTCGTCAATTTTAACTCCAAGCTTTTATAAATGAATCGACCTACTGAGGTTGAGAAGACAATTTTTCTCCTGGTGTTGCTAAATGGCGAACACCGTATGTTTTTTAAAACCCAGGAGCCATCCGCCACTGGCATTGAATCCACTCTTTGTTTTTTAAGTGCAATTTTTTAGCCTTTTCTTTCAGCATGATCCGCATTGTTTCGCAGTTTTTATTAAGCCTCTGCCGTTTTTTGAGAAGTCAATATTTCATGTCAGAAGTGCACTCGGAGGAGTTTATAAAATTTTACTCAATTTTTTTTTATTTGGTCGATCCAGCTACTGCGTCCGCCAATAGATGTGAGCAAAAATATTTTAATACTGCATCCCCATTTGAAAAGATGGTATCAAACGATAGGCGACAGCACATACATATTAAGATCACGAAAATACAGTCACTCACAGCCGAAGTGATGCAGTTATGTAAGAAATAGTATAAGTTTTATTTAAAAATTAAAAAAAATTCCAAAAAACATGAATTCCAGTTAATAGCCACAGATATGCACATTTTATTTATTCTTTCAAATATATTTTTTTTATATATATTTTTTGTAATTAGCAACAAAAACAAACTACTATGAAATTGTTCCTCACAGCGAAAATGATGCAGTAACAAAAAAAAACTTATAAATTTCATTTTTCTAAAGAACAAAACCCCAACTATAGACAGATTTTAGCGGCAATAGCACCAAATGATTAAAATTTTGACAAAATTACAACTTTAATTCAGAAATATCTGCACAACTATAGATATATTAAATCTAGCTTAATAATGATGACTAAATTTTTTATTTTTATATTTTTTTCTCAGTTTATAATAATTATCATAATTTTGAACAAAAAAATATCGCTCAGAATTGTTACTTTTGAATTTTATATATTATTTTTTTTGGTTAGTTTTTTGCTCTTAAAATATCGCCCAATTTTATAAAGTGAAACTTTAAGAAGAAGTTATCTATCTAAGAGCAAAAATAAAAATAAAGCTAAAAAGTAATAATTATTTCTTATTATGATAATAAACTCGGAAATTAATTATTATAAACTAAGCAAGGTTATAAAAATTGTGAAATTAGAATGCTGTTTGTTGTCTATTGACTTCTCTAACTGAAAGACTTTTTCATTAAACAAAATACAGATATTCATGATTTACAACTGCTTTTAATGAAAACGAATAATATTGTGGCGAATATCACTTAATTTCAAGTGATATTTTTAAACACGAAACAATTTGCAGCAGTCTAAAAAACAAACTAATTATTAAAACAATATCCGATCTCCTTAGAAAATTTCGTTAAAATATCTTCGAAATTGATACGACTAGTTTGCTTACAGCAAATTTCTACTAAACTCCTCATCGTCAATAAATCTACAGTTACTCACAAAAATGAGTATGCTAAGGTTTTCGTAAGGGAAATACACAAACTATACAAATTTTAGTGGATATATTTGAATCTTTTTGATGCACCTTTGAAGCTTGAACTCTTTTCGACTATATTTGAAGCAAAATTAATGAATTTATTTAGCATTAAGCAAAAACTTAAACAAAAAAAAAAATTAAATTATTGATAAATTCAGGTCACAAAATTGAGTATACACACACATTTTAAATGTGGCATCTCAGGATATCTTTTTGTCCGTTATTGGATCACGTTAGTACTGAAATACATTTAAAAGATTTTGTTGTGTGTTATCGTTAGATACGCAATACGGTTTTTCAAGCATTTATTTCACCATGGTTGGTACCAGAACGGAGACAACTATTGAAATAAGAGAATTAGTGATAAAATTGTCCTGTGAAGGTAAATTGTACAGACAAATTGGTAAAATTATTGGCAGACCTCGTTGCACAGTTCAAAAATTATAAATAAATGGAGATATGGAGGAACGTTATTAAATTCTGGTGGGAGAGGTCGCACTGATGTTGATAAACCCAAAGATAAGTGCTGCTAATTTAACAATCGAAGTGTCCAAAATAATAAATAAACCAATATCAACTGAATCAGTTCGCAGTATTCTTCAAAAAATAATTAATATGGATGAATAGCACTTAAAAAGCCATTTATCTCCAGTGTAAATAAGAAAAAAAGGCTTGAGTTTGCGAAAGCTCATGTTGATTAGCCTTGAAACATGGTGGTGGTTCAGTCATGCTTTGGGGGTCAATGGCAGCTATTCAGTTTATTGAAAGCAACATGACCAAGGAGATTTACTTGCAAGCTTGGAAAAAATAAAGCTTCCGTCAGTGTTTTGGTTCCAGCACGACAACGATCCAAAAGATATAGCGATGATAGTGAAAGAAAGAATGGTTACTTTATAGTTCGCACTAAAAAGTTAAAAAATCTTTCATTTTTATTATTTAAAACTGTACATTTTCTTTCAAGAAAAAAGACGAGATACATTATTTGTTAAAATTCATGGGATTTGGAAACAGTATAGAAATATTAGTTTTCTCACACTAAAGCACATGTTTTAACATACATGCATACATAGTTAAAAAATATCAAATAGCAAATTATCGGCACTCGTAGGTATGCAATTACTTAAATTTTTTTTTTGTTTGCGTTTGTATAGTTAACTTATTAAGAATATTACAGGAATTCAAGAGCTATTTAATATCAATTAGTTGACACTCTTACTTGTTGCAATTGTTGCAATAATCTCAAATTATGGTCCTGGCTCCATGGGTTTATTGAATAATATCGTAAAATCGGCATGCTGTCGTAGTCAATCCAGAGTTTTTAATGAATACAATTTAAACCTTTTGGCCGCGCTGCGTGATTGTAACTGAAATATCAATGAATTTAATAGTCTGTGTTTCACTTCACAACTAGTTATTTATTAATGTACATATGTACATACGAGTAAACATCTATAGCCGAGTAACCTGTGGCATTCTTTTAGAGGTTATCAGTAATAAGCAACATGTGTTTGCTTCACGATTTAAAAATATATACTTTGTTTATCAACAGTTTCGATTGGAATTATGTTATATACATTATACTTTAAATATATCAAAACATGCAGCGTTTAATAAATAGACTTCAACACAAACAGCAACTCAAACAAAATAATAAAGCACACATAGCAAGGATGGAGACTAGATCACACCAATCAGTTTCACATTTTAAGCATTACGTCACTATTTTAAATTATTTACATTCATACCACATATAATACAACAATTTTATAATTGTGAGAACGAAATTTTAATTGATGCAATCTCTGTGGTAGCTCTGCTCGGTGAGACCTGTCAGTAAATAAGAGCCAATACAGAAATGTCAAAATTACGCTCTCTCGGCACAAGTTGAATAAAATTCAACTGAAACAGTTCGCTCACTGAACAAAACTCTTGTAATGCAAATTCAAGTAATATCAGTAATACAAAACTAAACCAGGCCAGAGAATGTAAAATAAGTTCTCTGACCGTGCGTCAGAAATATCTTATAGCATATTTCCACCGGACGTTAAATGCTGTTTAGCTTAAAAGCATTTAAACATCGCATTTAAATGCGTGAACTCCCATGTATGTGTTGTTGTATAAATGTGTGTTAACTCACTTTTCAAAGTGATAACAATCAATGCTGGGACTACTAATGTGACCATTTCGGAAGTTTCGGTATCTCTTTTGCCAGAGTCGTGGGGCGAGACTTTTATTTTGAGTGGCGCATTTTTTCTGCAAAAATTACTTTTTTACATTAGTTGTAACATAAATGCATATATTAACAAAGATAATATTTCTACTCTTTAAAAAAAATCATCGGCCGTTCGGAGGCGACTTAGTATAAACTGTAGGTCCCTCCATTTGTTGGAAAAACATCAAGACGCAAAACCTTAAATTGAAGGAGGAGCTCGGCCGAAAAATCGCTTCAACGGTTACAAAGCGCTATTTGTATAATATATATAAAAGCGCTTGCGTTTCAGCAACGATTGTCCATGCAGCAATAATCTGCACTTGCAAATGATAATATTGTATGAATAGCTAAATAAAATGAATGCACAATCTTGATTTTATGATTTCAATACTTGTGACAACTTGTGCAAACTGCATATGTAAACAAAAATCAACTGTTTGCATTAACTCACTTTCTGTCAAGAGAATGAAATGTCAAATGTTTCCACATTTCATTCACTTACAGGCCTATTCTGTCGAGGTAACAAAATTTACCTAGGTATTAAAATTTACCACTCAGTAAATTTTGTTACCATTTCGTCTTCTGAGCTCACTGTTACCCTGTAAAGTTTGTTACCAGCGAAATAGGAGAAAACAAAAATATTTGCTATATGATTTTGTGTTGTTAGCATTATTAGTTTGAGAAAAAATAAAAACCAAAATGGGTAGACATATTTGATGCCTGGAATTCATTGAAGATGAAGAAAAAAGTGCAAAAAGGCGTATTTTAAGAAGTTTTCGAGACAAAAAATAGGAGTTTAATATGTAAGATATCGTTTTCATTCAATTTTTTTTTTGTTGTCCAGGCATATTTTCCGTAATTAAGTTCAAATATTTATGATTTAATTTTTCACATGAATATTTTTCTTTTTACTTTATCAACTGGCAAATGTAATTTGACATGGACGAAAAGAGCTAAATTTTCTTCAAACATTGTAACCAGTTCGCCAGAATACCAAATTCAATTTCGGGTGTTAAAGAAAAGTAACAAAATTTACTTTACCGGTAACAGTGAGAATAGGCCTGAAAGACGCCTTTGAATCAACGCAGCCAGATAGGCAGTGCGTTCTATATTTTCCATGATAAAATTTATTTTAAAGCCAACACCGAAATACTATTTTATTTATTATTTTATAATTTCCAGCTGTTAAATTATCTTCTGGTTAAGAGCTAATCGCCACTCAATGTTAGCATTAAGTTAACCGCAACTTAATTAATTGTGCCTTAACAGGACATTGTGAAAACGAATTGTTTCCTACCTTCCGATTAAGTACGGATTAAGTGCTTAGGCTGCAACTAGCCAACGCGCGTACCAGCCGTCCATAGTAACCTATTGTCACGATTTTACTAAATCAACCTCGATTATTTTCCGAATCCTTCGGGTACGATCTCTGGATTGTTAAATAAAAACTCGCCAACTTAATTTGCAGTTTCTTTCGTTATAAAGAATTAATCTAATGTCCTTTATTTTCTCAGTAATTCACAATTCAATTATAATGCACTTTACTATTTACAATCACTAGCATCAACTTTCACAATTTACTTTACTTAAATGTAATCTCCAACGCGTTTACTTTACGACTTTACTGATGTTAACGCCAACCAGTTCACTTTGTAACTAACTTGATTTGCAGCTGAGTGTTGCCCTTATATAGCAGTCGGCTGCTCGCTGACGAAAGCGTAGAAGCATCCAGTTGTTCGCTATGGAAGGTTCTTGTTTTATCGTTTCTAGAATGTACTAGTTATCGGCTTCATTCTTTCATCTGACATTCGCCTCGCATTTTCGCAACACTATTTTATGAGAGCGCCATGTAAACAACTACCATTTCACTTACCAGCCGTCCATAAGTAGCGACGAAAAGGCGAGATAAACACACGAATTATTGACGCCGCTGAGAGCGGCGAAATGTTGCCAGCTGCCTGTGTGTTTGCACACTTCTGAACAAATTCATAATTTTCGTCAACAAATTTTATAATTTATTTGCTTGAACATAAACACAAGGCAAATATACATAATCTATATGGTAACAATTAAGTAGTTACGCATTTATTTTTAATTCTTTTGAACAAAACTACTCATTATCTTCGATTATTTAATGTTACTTTAAGAAAGGCGAGCCGGTTTTACGGAAAATATCAAAACTTCGTTGGTTTCTGGGGAACAACCGTCACCAACGGTATGGGAAAGCGGTGACAACTTTGTGTTTACATGGCGCTCTCATAAGATAGGATACTATGGACGGCTGGTATGCGCGTTGGGTAGTTGCAGCCATACGAGTATGTTTGTTTATGGTATTTATTCGTTTGAAATTTAAGACAGATACGATCCGTTCAAAGCGAAAAACATAAAAAAGGGAATGCCAGAATCTACAGAGGCGAATAGAAACTCAAAATATGTTGCACAAGCATTGCAACACGGTGCCCTGCCCCTTTCGTTGTCGCCGTATCCCCTATAGATGAGTGTTTCGTTGATAAAAAGTATCCCCATGTAAACTCAGACTAATTGAAATATTATTTTTAATATTATATATTTTTTTGGTTTTGTGTCTTAACATATTTAATAAAAACCCTTTTTGTTAATTTGCGATAAAAATAAAGTTTTATAATTCATACATTCTGCGCATAGAGTTTAAATTTCCTCAATTTACGCATGCCTTCCCAACAGCTCTAGTCTTGTATTTCCTCATTACAAGTCTATTTTTAGCTTCTCATTCAATTAGCTTTTTTTCATGCTGTGCGACAGCTGCAAGTCGACCAGTTCCCCAAGATATTTTGAATTAGTCCGAGATGTGTTGAATTATCTCGAACTGAGATGGTTGCAAATCGACCTGTTCCTCCGATATGCGGTGATAAAACTCGCGGATAATTTTCAGTTAACATTTGCACCTTCTCTTTATATTATCATTCTCTGCAACTACGGGTATATGGCAATAATATTGATATCATTGGCCTCAACAACCGCGCCCTTAGTTCTGCGAGGACGACGAAATACCTCCTGTCATCGCATTCGTTACTTGTCTCCCATGCCACTGCTTACAGTCATAACCTCGAAGTCGTAGATAATTTCGTCTATCTAAGGAACTGCATTGACGCTAATAATATTTTCAGCCTTGAAATCCAACTCAGAACACTCTTGCCAACTGTAGTACCAGTGGATTGAGTAGCCAATTGAAAATTAAAGTCCTCTCTCGACGAACAAAAGCTAAACTCTACAAGTCACTCATCGTAATCGTCCTTGGGAGCCTCCGAGAGAAACGTTTTACGAACTATTTATGGTGTTTTACGTAACTAAACGATGACATTGACATAGTTCAGCGAATGAAGACAGCAGCTTCGCTGGCCAGGTAATGGCGTCATACAGCGAAAAGAAGAAATTAATATTGTTGATTCGGCTAAAAGGATTTGACAGCCAACAATGAAATTCTGCCACTTTTCAAGGTGAATAGCCAGAGCAGCTACGTAAAATTATGATTTCTTTAGAATACACGATAATTCGGAAATCAAGCGACGAATATTTTGCAGTGCTTAACTCCAGCTATATAAAAATAAAAAGAAAATAATAAACAATAATGGCTTTTAAATATTTGACATATGTTTTATCCCAAGATGTAAAGGTGTCGTACTCTTCATCATTGGATAGAAGTTTGCTTGGAGAAGTGGAAGATCAAATTCACTTGAATGCAATTGAGTTTCAAAATCTATATAGATTAACGCCAGATTTAGTTGAATAAATGGTTTCTCAACTTGATAGCCAACTAAAAGGCAAAATATTAACAGCAATATTTACATAGATGCAGGTAATAATACAACTTTTAGGTATTCTTTCTGTTTTAACTCATTTTAGTAGTCCTTCAAGGTTCTAACCGTCTTACGACTCTTCGCAATTCGATGATATCAACGTCCCGTTGGAGAGCACTGTGGGAATATCTAAGAGTAAGCCCTTGTATCCATAGCGTAAAAAGACGAATTCAACCATTGTACAACCTACAATGTCCCTAGCTGTTGCCAAAGAAGCAGATCAACTATCCGCGTCTTCACAGTGGCCCGCGATAATATATTTCTGAAAAATTATATTGGCGACCCAATCGTCAACATCCTCGGAGTGTTATACTGACCAAACTTGGTGCTGTGAAACAAATAATAAAAGAAATGAGCTAGAGTGGTGTTATCGAACAATCAGCAAGTCCATAGAGTTCTCCACAGTACTTGTGAAAAAGGCAGGTGCGTGAACTGCTGCGTGATTAAAAGATAATACAAAGAAATACAGTTATCAGTTTCCAAGGATCAATGATACTCTGGCCTCTCGGCGTAGAATGGTTCTCAACCCTCGATCTTAAGATCGGTTATTGGCTAATTTAAGTTATTTGTGAAGGTATGGAGAGACCGCCTTCAGTGCTGGCATTTCACCGTCTTTGCCGTTTGGATCATGCAACGCTCCTGCCACTTTTGAAAAGTTAATGGATCACATGATACCCCAGAGACAACACTGGAAAACATCCAGGTGACATCATCGTGTTGAGTAAAGACTCTCCGGAGCATATCAATAATTTAGAAGAAGCTTCCAGAGGACAGCTGGTGCTGGTCTTAAACTAAGTCTTAAAAAGTGCTCATTATTTTTCAAAGTGGTAAATTATTAGGATATCAGGTAACGTCGAATCGCGACTCAGTGCAAAGGAGAATGTAGAAGCAGTGAAGGATTGGCCAATGCATAGGAATTTGCACGAGTTACGGAGTTTTCTTGGACTATGCCAATTCGTTCCAAATTTCGTCAACTTTGCGAATTGCCTTCATGAGCTTTTGAGTGGAGCAAGAAACAAGAGGAATGCTGACGCCATGTCGGCTCAAAAGCTAATTGCAATTATATCTGTCGAAGAATGGGAAGCCTACGAAAAAAAAACAGTTTTAAGTTGATATCTGGCTGTTTGCATAGAATGCAACCCTCGATCTTAAGATCGGTTATTGACTAATTTAAGTTATTTGTGAAGATATGGAGAGACCGCCTTCAGTGCTGGCATTTCACCGCCTTTGCCGTTTGGATCATGCAACGCTCCTGCCACTTTTGAAAAGTTAATGGATCACATGATACCCAAGAGACAACACTGGAAAACATCTTTGGTGTATCCAGGTGACATCATCGCGTTGAGTAAAGACTCTCCGGAGCATCTCAATAATTTAGAAGAAGCTTCCAGAGGACAGCTGGTGCTGGTCTTAAAATAAGTCTTAAAAAGTGCTCATTATTTTTCAAAGTGGTAAATTATTAGGATATCAGGTAACGTCGAATCGCGTCTCAGTGCAAAGGAGAATGTAGAAGCAGTGAAGGATTGGCCAATGCCTAGGAATTTGCACGAGTTACGGAGTTTTCTTGGACTATGCCAATTCGTTCCAAATTTCGTCAACGTTGCGAATTGCCTTCATGAGCTTTTGAGCGGAGCAAGAAACAAGAGGAATGCTGACGCCATGTCGGCTCAAAAGCTATTTGCAATTATATCCGTCGAAGAATGGGAAGCCTACGAAAAAAAACAGTTTTAAGTTGATATCTGGCTGTTTGCATAGAGTGCTCCCGCAATTTTCTCGCATTTCGGAAGTTAGGGATTCCGGACGTTCCTGTGGGCTGCAAAAACCTTGGAGAAGGTTAAACAGCGGCTAGCTTGGAGCTGCAAGAAGTGTATTCAAGCTAAAGAGCCGAAATTCAGAAATCTTGTGACCCGCCGTATGCGCAAACTGCCAAACACCAGCGCGGTGCTTGATTTCTCCAGGGAGGAGGTTCAGGGGGTCATCGGGAAGGCGAAAGCCTCCAAATCCATCGCCCCCGACGGAATAAGCATGCTGATGCTGAAACACCATGGACCAGCGGGAGCAGAATTTCTCACGAAGGTACTCAATTTGTCTTTGACCACCCTGAGGATACCCGACGTGTGAAAAATGAGTAGGGTGGTCCCGCTACTTAAACCGGGAAAACCAGCCAACAAAGGAGAGTCCTATCGGCTGATAACTCTCCTCTCTCCAGTAGCGAAGACACTTGAGGCCTTACTGCTCCCGACCTTCACTCACCATCTGCGTCCAGCAGCGCATCAGCATGGCTTCCGAAAAGTGCACAGCACCACAACAGCACTTAACGGCATAAACACCCAGATAGTCCATGGCCTTAACCAAAACCGACCCTGCGCGCGAACTGTCCTAGAAGCACTGGACTTGTCAAAAGCTTTTGACACAGTCAATCACTGAGTGTTAGTAACGGAAATTGAGGAATCCTCATTACCGCCGGGGTTGCAGAGGTGGGTCATGGGCTACTTGAGTGGTCGACAATCATCGATAATTTTCGGAGGTGTAACATCTAAAACTAGAAAAATTAAACAGGGGATTCCGCAGGGTGGTGTCCTCTCCCCGCTACTGTATAACTTTTACATCTCGAAACTCCCTCCACCATCAGAAGGAGTTTCCCTAACTTCTTATGCCGATGATTGTACGATTCTGGCGTCTGGCCAGGATATTGATGACCTCTGTTCGAAAGTGAACGGCTACCTCGCTGATCTCTTCCACTTCTTCACTACAAGACAGCTACAAATTCAACCGACGAAATCCTCGACTACCCTCTTCACCAGCTGGACGAAGGAGTACAGGCTTGAACTAGATGTGAAGGTCGATGACACAAAAATTCCGACGGTAAATAACCCAAAAATATTGGGAGTAACCCTAGACAGCCTGCACTCCTTCACTCCGCATACCACCGCAATTGCCGCGAAACTCCAAAGCCGCAACAAAATACTCAAAGCGCTAGCCGGCAGCACCTGGGGAAAAGACAAAGAAACTTTGCTGGCTACTTATAAAGCAATTGGCCGGCCGGTCGTAAACTATGCTGCACCGATCTGGACGCCGGGGACGAACGAGACGCAGATGAAGAAGCTACAGGCTTGCCAAAACACCGCCCTCAGGACCGCGACAGGAAACCTCCTGATGCCGCCGAAGCATCATTTGCACAGGGAAGCATCTATGTTACGAGTTAAGGAGCATAATGCTTTGCTGTGCAAGCAGTTCCTATTGGGATGCTACCGCAGGGAGCACCCCAGTAGGCACCTAATAGAGGCTGAACCTCCACCTAGGCACATCAGAAAGGGAGTACTAGATTTAAGGGACACAATCCAGCAACACACACAACAACCGCTGGACAGGACAGCGTACCGACAAGCACTGAACGCCATTCACCAAGAGTCAGTCAACACCTTCATGGACTCCCTTCCAGTGAATGGCGTACTCGGAGAAATACCACCACCCATAGCAGACAACGAGCTCGAGCTGCCTCGAGAGACCCACGTGACCCTGACCCAACTCAGGTCTGGATATTGTAGCAGGTTAAACTCCTACCTATCCAGACTAGACCCCAGCATACCCAACGGATGCCCTGCATGTGGAGAGTCTCCGCACGACACTAACCACCTCTTCACATGCCCCCTCAAACCCACTCATCTAACCCCCCTCTCCCTTTGGTCCAACCCCGTCGAAACAGCTCGTTTCCTGGGCCTACCAGTAGATGACCTCGGCGACTTAGACTGAACAAACTTGTGCTTAAGCGGGGTTAGCGAACCGCTACAACAACAACAGAAGTCTTGGACAGATGCTGCAATAAGTATAGGTTATCCATTTGAGCGAGTTGCCAAGGTTACAGCCCGCTCATTCTCCATGAGCAGACTAGGAATGACGTATGTCCTTCAACTGCGACTTCAACGAAAGGCTCATAACTGGTGGCGAAACGTGGGTATATGGTTATGTCGTCTAAATCAATACGTAATCATCACAATGGAAGTGGCCAGATGAGTCAGGAACGCCGAATTCGAAAAAATGTGAAGCTTATACGTACTGTAATGAGTTTTAACAGGTAGCACAGTTAATAAGTAATACTAATTGTGGAAAAAAATCATGAATTTTGCATTGCGAAAATGCACCAGCTCTTGGTCGACTTTCGACAAAAACAGCCCCGTTGGGCTTCAACCACCCTATTCGCCGCATGTGGCTACATAATAAAAGGAAAGCTTTCTCAAGTTCTTTCAAAATTGGAAGAAGCGCTGGCTTAAGTGCATCATATCTGAGGGGGATTCTTTTGAAGGGTACAAATTAGCTATTGATGAATAGCTTTTCAAAAAAAATTCAAAATTCACCTATTCTTTTGAACATACCGCAAGGTACAATTTCGTAGGAAAAAAGCAAAAGGATTTAAGAACTTAGATCTTTCGCTTAACAATTTAATAATTCTCTTACTTTATCTTAATATTTGGCTGTCTATGAAATACAACATTATAAACAAAAAATGAACGTTATCACAAAATATTCCGAAATTTATTGTGTCAAATAGTTTCTTGAGCTGAGCTAAATTAGCATTCTGACTACAATAATTGTCACCAAGTTGTGATAATTATTCAATTTGCCTTGGTTGCTGCTCTAGATTTCAGCAAAATTAAAACATTTTGTTTCTTATTATATCGAAGATTTGGAATTCAAAAGACTAGTCGATCACTTCGTTATAAAATCTATCCGTTCCATGATACTTGACTATCTTAAGAAAAATTTTTTAGTTGCTTCGTTATTATTTTAGATTTACTATATTAATAACCACGCTACTTCACATATTACTGCTAGTATAGTTATATAATAACATATAAGTATGTAACAATTTTTTAAATATGAATATGTTTCGCTGCTTTTGCAGCTTGGGCGCTTATTTCATCCATACTTTTACGCGCACTTTCTGTCATATCATCTAAAGAGTGCTTAGTTTTCATTAAGAAATCATCTGCGGTCTCGGCGATTCCTTTAACTTCAGTATTTATGCGTCCAATAACCCATTCAAGTCCCTGGCGTCCTTTACCAGCATTCATACTAATAGTTGATGTAAGCATATCCTCCATATAGTGACATAAAGGTACACCTTGTACACTGACAGATGCTTCCTGCTTAAGCAGAGTTTTACTGGAATCTGTGGGGTGAGGCTCGTAATAGAGAACCTCATCAATCGATATATGTCGACAGAAAGTCAAATTTATAGTTTTGAGTATCATTTGTTTTCTATGCGGATCAACCGTTGAACGTTCACTTGCAAAACAAGTTTTGGCTGTTCCAATCAATGAATGTGTCCATTTTGGAAAATACCACTTCGACTGAACCAAACGATGTGTGTGCAAAACTCCATTCACTACTTTACGCTCTACAACATCTGTACCAATTATAGATGGTGTCATTGGATTCGGATATTTACGCCATGCAGCTTGTGTAACTGTTTCCCATGGGTGGTTAAATGTGTGCTCCGACGTCCAAATCTTCATTATGCAAGTAATGTAGACGTTTCGCAATTAATTTTCACCCCTGGCTCCAAACCGCGATTTGCTGCCTGTATTTAAATAAAACGTAAAGCAAATGTCCACGATAAATTTATAACTCTTTTTCTCCATCCAAACTAATGAAAAATTTAATGTTAATAACCTTTGATCAAAAATATGCAGCAAAATATATGCGCAGAGGAGAAAAAAAATAGATAAAAAGAATCTCTTTCGAGTGGATAGTTGAACATACTGCAATTGACATTTAGCTACTAAGCTTACTTAGTGTTGCCACTACTTCTTTTTTGATGCAGATACCCAGCAAGAACAGTATTGTTACGATTTTGCTAAATCCACCTCGATGATTTTCTGAATCCTACGGGTACGATCTCTGCATTGTTAAATAAAAACTCGCCAACTTAATTTGCAGTTTCTTTCGTTGCCAAGAATTTATCTATTGTCCTTTATTTACTCAGTAATTCACAATTCAATTACAATGCACAACTAGTTGTAATCACTTGTATAAACTTTCACAATCTACTTTACTTAAATGTAATCTCCAACGCGCTTACTTTACGACTCAAATAGTTTATTCCGCTATACTCTATGTTGTTACCAACCAGTTCACTTTGTCACTGACTTCTTGGGAGCTGAGTGTCGCCCTTATATATCAGTCGGCTGCTCGTAGACGAAAGTGTAGAATAATCGAGTTGTTCGCTATCGAAGGATCTCTATAGAGCGAAGAGTCATGCATGAAAGTGCAAACCATAACAGACTTAGATGGAGGGCACTGTGGGGTATAAGCGAGGCGAATGTCAGACGAAAGAGTGAAGCCGATAACTACTACATTCTAGAACTATAAAACTAGAACCTTCGATAGCGAACAACTCGATGATTCTACACTTTCGTCTGCGAGAAGCCGATTGCTATATAAGGGCGACACTCAGCAGCCAAGTCAAGTTAGTTACAAAGTGAGCTCGTTGGCGTTAACATCAGTAAAGTCGTAAAGTAAACGCGTTAGGAATTACATTTAAGTAGAGTAAATTGTGAAAGTTTATGCAAGTGATTGTAGCTAATAAAGTGCATTGTAATTGAATTGTGAATTACTGAGTAAATAAAGGACGTTAGATAAAGTCTNTTGGAGGTAAATAGACGACCAAGTAAGGAACAAATGGCTGCGGAAAGTCCTATCGCAAAGGCATACTGGGCACAATGGAACAGTTTAGAGCTGATATCCGGCTGTTTATATAGAGTGTGGGAAAATGAAGATGGCCAGTGCTCCCGGAAGCTAATAGTAGTTCCGTAGTTAAGAGTTCCGGATATTCTTAAGGAATTCCATAACGGTCCTAGTAGAGGGCACCTAGGCATTACAAAAACGCTGGAAAAGATTTTATTTATTTATTTATTTATTTAATAATAATAGCAAAGCATTAGTACAATAAGATTTCCATATCTTTTTTAGTACAACAGAGATAGTGTGAAGAATATGTAAATATTACTTTACAGATACATTAACAAAAATAATAATAATATATAATTAGCTGAGTATGATAAAAGCTTAAACAATTATTAAATGGTCAGTCTATGTTTGAAATTTGGCCTTTAAAATGCATATATATGTGGTTCTTGAAAATGCTTCTGTTTAATTTCCTCCTTAAATTAGCAGGAAGAGAGTTCCATAATCGACTAGCATTAACAAAGAACAGCCTTGATGACTGCTGTGATTTATGAAAAGGTATTATAATATTACCTACTCTGGCTGACCGAGTAAACGATAACTTGGTGAAAAAATAACTAGGAGATTGAGTCATAATGAGTTTGCAAAGAAAAATACAATTTCTGGCTTTATGATAGTCCGCAATCGTACATCCTAATATCTGATCTTTCCAAGACGAGATGTGCTCATATTTGGAAAGACCAAACACATACCGTGTGACATTATTAAACATAACGTCGATTTTACGAGCAGAAAAACTGTCATGTTTGCTGTATACGACTTCAGAGTACATGATGACCGGAAGAATAATTTGTATAGCAAGTCGGCGTCTGGTAGCAGTGGGTGTATAGATAGCTGACTGCCTAAGATTCCTCAGAATGATCCGTGCATGTAAGATTAGAGTTGTTGTTGTATCCTAAGCTTTTTAATCTAGCTGACTAATTTTAAGGGACAATTGTCTATGAGTATTGGGGGCAAAAAATCCAGATTTGTCAGTTTTCTAGCACTGATTGGCAGCACACAGCACTTCTTTTTATTTAAAATTAGACCGCTGGCAGCCGCCCTGCTAGAGATATCAGCCAAGTCAGTATAAATGCTTTTACATAACTCTTTAGCTTGATCAAAAGGTGCAGATAAATATAACTGAATGTCATCAGCATAATCATGCAGGTTTGAAAATTTGCACACACTGAAGACGTTATTAATAAATATACTGAAAAGCAGGGGACCAAGGATGGAGCCTTGAGGCACCCCTGAAGTAACTGGCTTGAGTTGCGATGTGTCTTCCCCATTTTTTACAAACTGAAACCTGTCAACAAGGTAGCTTTTCAGAAGTTTTAAAGCACTACAACTAAAACCAAAGTACGCTTTCAACTTACAGCTTAATAACTCATGATTGACCATATCAAATGCTTTTGAAATGTCAAGTAAGCAAAGCAAGGTGAATTTATTTTCATCAATGTTGGATCGAATGTCATCACTGATCTTTAGTACCGCAGTACTACAGCTGTGATTTTTACTGAAGCCTGATTGAAACGGAGATATTAAGTTGTGCTTGCTTACAAATTCGTTTATTTGCTTAGCTAAGAGCATCTCAAAAACTTTAGACAATACGGGGAGGATGCTTATTGGTCGCAAATCAGACGGACTACAAGGATGGTTCTTTTTAGCGACAGGTAGTACAGTGCCAATTTTCCATTGCTCTGGGAAACAAGACGTGGTAATACAATGATTAATAATGTGCGTTAGTGTCCCAAGAATGCAAGGTAGTATAATTTTAATAAATTTAATTGGTAAACCATCATGCCCTATTGCATTGGATGAGATTTTAAATATACTCATTGCAACATCATATTCACTAACAGCTGAAAATAGAAAACAGTCATCCCTAAACAAGAGATCATCCCTGGACATAAAGTTAATAGTGTCACTGTGTGGTACACAGTTTAGAAGAAAAGCATCATTAACCACATTTGCTTCTAAGGAACATTCGACATTCTCCTTACAATGAACACCAAGTCGTTTAATGTTACGCCATAGAACCTTTGT